TTCGTTCGCCCGGGTTAATGTGAGGAGCTTTACCTCCGAACCACTATACACCTCAGAAAATTAATTCTTTGACCCAATCCTAACATGCATTCTATACAAAGGGGTCGATGTTTTTCCCTTGCGTTAAACAGGTCAGAATGTGAACGCTATTGGGGTGGGTATTACAGATCACTTTCACGATCTGGTTCACCTGAATCTAACCACCATTGCGGCCGGATTTAAAAGGGGGTGCGGAAAGGAAATGAGGGCTAGGACGCCTACCCAAGTCTTTCTTGAAACATCAAATCCTTCATCAGTTTGAACCTTATCAACTCATCTATCCATAAAAAATGGTATTGTCCCTTTACGAACAACACAAATCTCTAGTGCTGATGTAGCTTCAGCTTTGTCTTTTGCTTCAGAAACAGAATTCGTTTCGCAATAAATATGATGAGGACGACGATGAGGACGATGACAGTGCAGGCAACTCACTGCAAGACCAAGAACCACCATACCGGTCACTGACGTCCCCTGGTGGCATGAGGAGGTACGGCACGCTGCCCAGCCTGGAGATGCTGGACGAGAAAGAGCAGGCGGCCGAGGATTCCACGGACTCGGAAGGCAATGGCGAGTGGGACACGGATGCTGAGGAAGAGGACTGCAACAAGAAACAGGAAGACTCGCGTGAGTATTATACGTCTGCTCACATTTGTCATTTATCCCATATGATTATGTTGGAAGATGATTACTTCTTACGCATTCAATACCGAAAATGGCGTATTTTATTTAATCAGCAGAGATGAATAATAGGTGATGTTTACTCAGGCATTACAGAAGCATGCTGATCCGCTTTTCCAGAAGTTAAAATAAATATCCATTACGAATTTGTTCCTCCAGAACAAGACATTGGACATTTATTTACGGCAAACCAAAACTATGCGTGGCCAAGAGGATTTTGAATCATGATGATTACCCTTCTCAAATATCTCTTTCTCTAAAGCTAGTTTTGGTCAATGAACATCTGGGCCTGCAAATGTTAGAAGACACACCATACTCACCTGATGTAGACTCTTGTAACTTTTCATGTTTCCAAAACTGCAAATCTCAATGAAAGGGCATTTTTTGTACATCACTCAAAGGCGTTCTGAGCAATATGATGACGGGGCTGTACAGACGTCCTTACAATTATTTCCAGCATTATTCCCAGACATAACACATCTGTTTAAATGTGGTTATGAAGTTTCTCAGATGTTGTACATTACAGAATTTCCAGATGAGCAGTCAAGCCTTGGCTGACATAACACGATAAACAAAACACTGTTTTGTGTTATGTGTTACAGCGGGACCCCCACACCTGGAAGTAGTAACACAGTCACTCAGGGGCTGGACTGCGAGAGCGGGGTCCTTCATGGCAGAAAAGATGGCGCTGTTCGAAAGAATGGGTGAGGATTCTGGAGCGGCCACATTCCTTGACAGGTGAGCCAACAGCAATTTGCTTCTCCACAAACATATTACTTATACTGTTAACTTTTCTACGTATGAAGAGCTGTACAGCGTGCAGTCTTGTAATATAAGATGATAAGTTATAGACCGTGTAAAATAATTTTATATAGTTTAATTGTTAGTTCTTGTGTATAACTACTGAATTCTTAGGCTAATTAATTCATGCTGTTTGAACTCCAGAGAACATGAAATGAAGTGATCATGAAGGTTAGGAGGTAAGAAATGGAAGGAAATTGTTACAATGCAATTTGACTGGAGACACTGAGTAAAACCACAAAACTGTCAGCAAGAACTTTACAAGAACTAAACAAAAGAGGAGACCACACTAAAAGGGTTAGAAAGGTCACTTGTTGATTGTGTAATGAAACTGAAGGAAAGAATTTATATCTTAACTGCGTCATGTTTGTGTTTAATCAATATAATAATTCATTCACCGTCCATACACAAACTTAAAATGTTGTTAAAATTTACTTAAAATTACATAAAATTACAACATTTTTTAGAATCCTGACCTGATGATGGTGTAATACACCGAAACATGTCGTCAAATGTGAAATGTATCAAGATCTAATTCTAAAAAATGTTGTAATTTTATGTAATTTTAAGTAAATTTTAACAACATTTTAAGTTTGTGTATGGACGGTGAATGAATTATTATATTGAAGGAAAGAAACAACTGTGTGTCACAGTGATACACTGATGGATGTAAGGAAAACATTTAATTATCAGCAAGAAATCTCTTTCAGTAAAATGATAATTTTCTTCACCACCACATCTTTGGCCAATGCAGTTATTTATCTAATCAGCTCCAGGAGTGAGGAGACAGTGGTATGAAGCTGACAGCTTGCATCTTTGTAACACTGAGGTTAAAATGACCCAAGCTGTACTGCCATTCTCTTATACATTTTCATGGGATAATGCTTTAAGAACAGGGATGTTTTAACCGCTATTTATTTAGATATTTTATGCATATATAATCCAGTTCAGTGACGTTGCTTTGTTTGTGACAGATACCTGAGGCCAACAGCAGATAGTCAACAGCAACCTGTGTGTGGAGACTCTCCCCCTGATCCCAATACAGCATCATCTGGAGATGAGTGCTCCACCTCAGCGGCCACATCAGGCGAGGAAGTGTGGGGCACACCAACGAGTGGGGGGGAACTGGATGAGGAGCTGGTGTTCCCTCCTGTAGTGTCGGTAAGGCAAACATATCCCCTTCCATTTGGGCAGATTAGGCGTGGAATCAAAGTAGCTAAGGATATCATACAGAGGCAGGCACTTGTGAACAATGCCATATAATGCTGAGGTGTATTTGTCTTCAAACCCCCATATGCTTCCACAGCTTGGTAATTTCTTTCCCAATTGCTTTTATTAAAGAGCCATGCTGTTGATTCTGAAACAGCGTACTTAATCTTCTTCTATGGCCCTCCGGTCTGTATTCGGTCCATGGCCTCCACAATTCTCCTCTTCCATTCGGTCCTCTGTTAGGTCCGTCTATCCGAGGCTTTGATTGAGGTTTCGAAACATCTTCCTTTTCACAGTGCAAGGTTGTTAGCCTTGCGACCAACCTCCAACCTGGAGGACCAGGGTACCTGTCTTAGTCTGACCTCTCCCCCTCAACCAATCTGGCTAGGGAGGCCCTACCAGTAGCTCTTGGGGTCACTGAGGTACTCAAGCCCCACCACTATGACAAGGTGCAGGTACCATTAAGTGGGGGCGTACTTAATACGTTATCAAAAACCTGATTCCAGCAAGAATCACCCGCAGACTCAACATCATCAGCTGGGATGGGCGATGATGACACAGAGCTGATGATGGATGAACTGCTGGCAACCCCACCACTCTCTAGTAGTGTGAGAGGATTTCCTTCCAGAAGACGACTGGAACCTCTCCCAGAAGAAGAGGACATGGACAGTCCTACACTAACAACTGCTCCTGTCATAGAAAAGGAAACTCCTTCTCCTGAACAGGTAAGCCATTCAAGCCAAGGTACAAACTCTTTGTGTTTGGCATGCAGCTACATTAAAACAGGCTGTAACTACTGGAATTCTGTATGGTAATATTAATCCTTAGAAATATGATTTTCATCTAAATAATATTTTAAAAGTCTGGAAAGTTGTGTGCTTTGGAGGACACTGAAATTTGGAAGGTGTTCTTTATTCCACATCACAGACACACAGATGATGACACCAGGAGGGCAACAATGATATCAGGAAACAATTCTAACCAAGATCACTGTTGCAACACTGTGCTCCAATAATGTAATTAAATATGCAAGAAACTGGATTGGGGGAAGGCGAAGCTTCCAGGATTTCCACATGGTACCAGGCCCCAGAGGTAGCTTAGCCCTCTAGTCATCCAATCCTCTTTTTGGCAAATCCAGGGTGGTCTATGATGTGAAGTTGAAAGCCCAGTGGTGTCCAAGCTCAGCAAGGGCAAGATGATGGGTCATGAAAGTTAGGGTATGTGTAGGAGATAAAGCCTGGAGGGCACCATCTCTGGAGCAGCAAGCACAGGGGCCTAGGTTCCAGGGAGAAAGCTTGCTAGGTAAAGGCTTCGATTTGAATCCCTAGGGGTTTCAAGCCTAGTTAGCAGTAGCCAAGCATGTTCACAACAAGGAAGTATAGTCCCTGATGATTGCCTACCCCGTGGGCAGCCAAGCCCCTTAGGGGAATTTCCCTTGGGCTGGGTGATCTAACTTGAGATGGTAGATGCCCAGAGGTTTTCCAGTCCAGCAAAGGCATGGCCAGGGGTGTGTGTGTGTGTGTGTATGTGTAAAGCTATGAAGAGCAAGCATTACTCATAAAAATGGATCACTAAATTATACTTAGATAGTTGGAAGACCCTTTCCTCAGCGAGGGCAATTGTCCTTGCACGGTCCCAGTTTTGCTTCCATTTTCTTCAGTCTTGTGCAATAGTAGTCCAATTGACTAGGAATTTCTTTTCAGTAGCATGGTACATATTGTCTCTCACTACAAGTGAGTCCGCCCATCGAATTGGTGGCAGTCCGATTGGCCTCTTCTTGTTTCTTGTCTACCATATGATGGTATTTGTTGTGCATCTCCCGTCTTTTCTTTTCATAATGTGCTCGGCCCATCAATGTTTCGCATTGTCCACATGCTCGAGAAGAATCTTTGATTTTCGATATATTTTGGACGTCACTATTGTGCATTTGTTTCTCTCGTTGTTTCCTGAGAGTTAGCCCCAGAAGTCGTCTTTCGAGTGAGTCCTGTGTGACAGTTTCACTAAATTATATAATGTTTAATTTACAATTTATGTTACACTTATTACATATGCTTAAGGGTAACTGATGTCTGAAGTCCCTCCTGGAAGGTTTTACATTACAGGTCGGTCAGTTGAAGAACATAATGAACAATTTTTTATCAGTTACAAATGAAAAGGAACTCTGGTGGGACCGGTGATGTGTGTTTTGTTGTGGGTTCTGCTGGCAGGGCAGCGAGTCTGGCGTTGTTGCTGACATTTACCGTCACACCCCACCCCTCCCAGTGCCAGTAACAACTCCTACCCCAGTCAATATCAAGCAGCAGCAGGGTCCTGGCTTCTTCAACCGACTGCGACTGCGTGGACAGCGCGAGGAGCCCCATCAAGTGAAGAACAGCAGACTGTAAGCACTTTCAATGTGGCAAAATGTGTAGCACTTATGCCTAATAAGTTCCAAGCTTCTATAGAAGTTAAAACAATTTGGCATTGCAGGATTAGCCCTACTTCCAGCACTAAAGCTGGAGTACCTAAAGAGGGATGAAGGAACTGAGCAAACCAGGATATTTCATAAGGAGGCGTTTAGTGGCTGATATAGATCACCTAGTACTGGTAGTATAGTGAAATTTGGGAGGGTGCAATGGGCTGAGATTTGGTTAAGATGAGGAGATGAGGAACGCACACAGAGTTCTGATGGACAAACCTCTTGAAAAATGCCTGCTAGGAATACTGAGAAGGAGTGAATTGAATTGAATGTCAAAGTTCATCTTGCATAGTGACTCTTTTTTGAGTAAACTATGCCCTTCAGATGACTCAACAGATAGAAGTCAGTGGGTGTTAGATCATGTGATTGTGCGTTACAGAAATCTGGTTCATTTCTTCTTAAACACTCAGTAGGACTTTGAAAACTGCTTTGCATCGCAGGTAAAATTAGCAGGAGCTCCATCATGCATAAACCATATGGGACTAGTGTGTTGCACTACCAAGGTACATCTTCCAACAGTTGAGAGAATTCTTCCATTAAATAAAAAAGATGAAAGGCTTCTAACAGTCAAGGTCTTAGCTTGTAATGTCCGGAGACTGATAATTATTTCTGCCCAATCATTAATTGTAAACTGAACCGTCAACACCACACAATGTTGCCATATCCTGCTATAAAAACAGTTGTGACCATATGTTTATAGGAACTTTTTGTTTTTGATTTTATAGTAGAACATAATCTTTGTATTTACTACATGTAATTAAGAATCGGGGTCCGCAGTGGCCGCGCGGTCTGAGGCGTGGGCCTTGTGCCGCTTGGTCGCTGGGACCGTGGGTTCGAATCCCACTCAAGCCATGGATGTTTGTCCGTGTTTTTCTGTGTTGTGCTGTCCTGTGTACAGGTAGAGGTCGATCCCTCGTCCAAGGAGTCCTACCAAATGTCAATAGATCGCGCCAATGAAAAATTTGGGACCCACAGTGCTCAGGCACTTGAAGAACGGGTCATTCCCAGTATCCAAGTATCCCCAGTATTAATAATCACCCTTTATATCTGCACCACACTAATTATTTAAACTTAATTTCTATAAAAACACATATGGGTAAAAAGTAGCAATGACCAAAGCTTCTGGTATCCATCAAAAAACTGGATGGTTAGAGCGGGTTTCTTCAAGTTACAGGAAACATCATACGTTCTGAATGTGTCCCATTTGAGTCTGAACATTGATTAGTCTGACTGATGGTTCATGGTTTCTCATCAAACATCATGGCTGAGTGGTTAGTTAACACTCCTGCTTCATAATTGGGAGGTCCAAGGTTCAAATCTCTGCCTGGAGACTGACTATCCTAATTTTTTTTGTGGTTTTCCTCAGTCCCTCCAGGCAAATGCCAAGATAGTACCTTAAATTGAGCCACTACCATTACTTTCCATAGCCTTTTAAATTTATTATTTTTAATAATTATTTTATGTTGTATAACTGGAATTATTGAGAGCACCATGAAAATAAAACACCAAGTAAAATGTATTCATTATTTTAATGAGGCATTTCAGTTAAATTATAGTGCAGTACCTTCCTATCCAGTTCTTTTCAGTTCACCACACATAACCATTGTCTCATAGCAGCTAATCAGCCATTTGTTTAAATAACGTACATACTAACGTTCTTAATGTCCATATTACATAGATTCTAGGATTGTTACACAATAATAGAAAGTTTGGAGTTCAGGAAATTTCCAGAATTACATATGAAAAGATTTCAAATTCCAGGACATCTAATACATGTTGGCTCAGAGGCAAAAGAATTTATTGTAGTACCAATATCTACTGTGAGCACAAAAATCAATAGAAAAAATCAATGGAACATCAAAAGCATTCATTTATGGTCCCCAAATTAACGAACTATACTTCATTCATGATAAGTTTTAAGCAGATATAAATATATTGGGACTAAAATACAGGATTCTTCTTGGCTGCCAGCCAGAAAATTTCCATTAATTGCAATACATGTGTGTCTGTTTCTCATAGCAGAACTGCAGGTAGTCATAAAAACAGTGACAAATGGAAACAGTTAAAATGTTTTGTTGTCCTTACAGTAACTAGTGGTAGGTTGGGAAACAGTTTTTAGAATTTTGCGTTTCCTGTGCTACAATCTGTGGCTGTGAAATAAGCTTTGCATCTCTACCATCCAGTATCTTTCTGTCCATACCACAGACATCATAAATGAAGTATAGTAATGTCTACCATGCGATCTGTGAAATGGCTGTATTCGCTGTCCACAGTCTTGGTTTCCTGAGTG